GTTAACACTGGACTCTGGGGAAATACTAGAGTCTATCTACCACCTGGAGTATGAAATCAGTGTGTGATTGGCGGCTGTGTCAGTGGAAGTTTGTCAGACATGTGAATAATATGTGATGTAATGAATGTAACCTATTGTGTGATAATCGTGTGCTCTACTCCTTGCGCAAGTAAAACGAACCACTGTGTCTCTGGCTTGTTCTTTAATGACTGAGGTTGGGGTAAATTCCCTGACAACGTGCATCCGCTGTGCCGACAGACACAGCTTCGAGAGCGACAGAGAGCGAGGAAAACAAACAAGCTGCAAATAGAATTTATCGTGGCCGGAAACGTTATCGAGCTCGTTAAAAGTTTACCGTACGATTAATCGATTTACTGATTATCGTTACAGGCCTAACCGGAGTCCTTTTGTGTTTGACCAAATGAACCTCACAGGACTTTGAAAAACCGCGTTGTGACCGGGCCGACCTCTCCGCAGATCTGACCTGCAATTTTTCTGTCTGTCTCCATGGAGTTAGATAAGTTTAATATCAAACTGTGGAACCTTCCAAGCAAAACTTCTACCAGAAAAGTTACACAAAGCACCTTTAACAATGGAGCGGAGCCCTTCCCTCTACCTCCCTGTCTCTAATATTCACATGAGTTAGTGCGTTAGTTAGTAGTAGTAGTTAAAAAATATTGTTCATGCTTTATTAGGGTTAATTAAAGTGTTATTAGTGAGAGTTAAAGTGTTTTTTATGACTTTATAACTTGGTTTATATCACTTTGTGTACACAGAGCACAGACAGAGTAACGTGAGCACAGAGGAAGTGTTAGTGCGGCTCAGACGTGCAGCCGGAGCACAGACACAATATTCACCAACATGAGGAAAGTGAACACAGAATCACACTTCATAACAGGTTCTGATCCGGACTAGCGCTGTCACGAAAATGTAATTTCAAACTCGATTTCAATAATAAAGAACAGACTTGACACTCCAGACCGATTCTGATACCACGATGAGAACAAAAAAACACTCTTTCTTGTGATTTTCAGCATTAAATTATAGAACTTTCTTTTCTATTCCCACGTGGTCTTATATTTGTGTAATCCCTCAGTGGTCCAGGTCTAAACCAGGTCTAAACCAGGTCTAAACCAGGTCTAAACCAGGTCCTTTGGCGTATACTAGTCTATGTGTTTTAGTCTACGTTCAGACTGCAGCCTGAAGTGACCCAAATCAGATTTTTTGGCGCCTATGTGACCTGTATCTGATCTTTTAATGACAGTCTGAATGACACAGATCAGATTTTTTTTCAAATGTGACCCGAGGACACTTGGATATGTGCTCCTAAAATGATACATCGGGTTTTCGTATCGATCAATATCAGATTTTCTATATTTTTGACCATCGTAGTGTGTGGAGTCAGTACAACATTTTATAAAACAAGCACAAAAACCTTCACAGGGCTCCGTACATTTCAGATATTTGCTTAAAAAGAGGAGGTATTAAGTTTTCTAGCATGCATGTTTCAGTCATTTAGCGATCTCTCCTGGGCCCTATTCAAATCCTCTTTACGGTTCGCTGTAAGATCCTGTACGAGACTCCGCCCACAAGCCCACACACTCCCATGCGACAATTCTCTATAAATACACAAAAACCTGACGTAAACCTGTGTACGGCAACTTGGTGCTCTGAAGGGGGGTGACTTAGCACGGGGAGCAAAAGGGAGAGAAGCCTCAGAGCTTGAAAAACAAACCTGAAACTTCTTAAACACGTTATTTACGACGTTTTGGGTGAATATACTTGATGTAGTTTAAGCTTAACTGGACCAAGCTGTGGGTGTAAATGGAAAGAAAAGAAAACAGGAAATAAACAAAATAAAATAAACCGTGCGTCTTGAGAATAAAGATTACAAAACGTGGACCACCATCACAGTGTCTCCGCCCTCAGCATTAGTTTGTCTCCGGGTTTGTGGTCGATAAAATCCTTCATTGTTACAGGAAGAAGAGATCGGAGGATGTCACTAAGAGCTGCTGTTACGACTCTGCAGAAAAAAAAAACTCAAGTCATCGAACTGGCTCAAGTAAGAGAAGAGACGGTGGAAGAATCTGTGTGTCATTCGTTCATTTGTTTTTCAAAATAAAACCAGAAATAAGAAAATGAAGAAACAACTATTTTCTTCATTATTTGTCTCCAAAACCAAAATGAAAAAATAAAACAAATGATTCGGTTTTTTTTCAGTTTTTGATTTTGTGTTTAAATGAAAAATGGAAAAAACAAATAACGGCCGTTTACGTGATTTTAACTGTGATGCCGAACTGAGCCGGGACTGAACCAGGACTGAACCAGGACTGAACCAGGACTGACTGAACAGGACTGAACCAGGACTGAACCAGGACTGAACCAGACCGAACCAGGACTGAACCAGGACTGAACCAGGACTGAACCAGGACTGAACGGGACTAAACCAGGACTGAACCAGGACTGAACCAGGACTGAACCAGGACTGAACCAGGACTGAACCAGGACTGAACCAGGACTAAACCAGGACTGAACCAGGACTGAACTGGGACTGAACCAGGACTGAACTGGGACTAAACCACGACAGAACCGGAACTAAACCGGGACTGAATCAAGGACTAAACCAAGACTGAACCGGGACTAAACCGGGACTGAATCAAGGACTAAACCAAGACTGAACCGGGACTAAACCGGACTGAACCGGGACTGAACCAGGACTAAACCGGGACTAAACCGGGACTGAACCGGGACTGAACCGGGACTGAACCGGGACTAAACCGGGACTGAACCGGGACTAAACCGGGACTGAACCAGGACTGAACCGGGACTAAACCGGGACTGAACAGGGACTAAACCGGGACTGAACCGGGACTAAACCGGGACTGAACCGGGACTAAACCGGGACTGAACCAGGACTAAACCGGGACTTAACCGGGACTGAACCGGGACTAAACCGGGACTGAACCGGGACTGAACCGGGACTAAACCGGGACTGAACCGGGACTGAACCGGGACTGAACCGGGACTGAACCGGGACTGAACCGGGACTAAACCGGGACTGAACCAGGACTAAACCATTTTCAGTCCTGGTCTGGTCCCAGTCTCGGTCTGGTCCCGGTCCTGGTCTTGTCCCCGGTCTGGTCCTGGTCTCATCCCGGTCTCTGTCACCTGCTTGTTTCCATGGAGATGTTGTTGTTTTGTCTGGAATATCCCAGCGTGGCTTTAAACGTGTCCATCTCAGTGAGCTTGCCTCTCCACAGATCTGACCCGTAACTTAGTCTGGTTTGGTCTCCGTGAAGATAGAAAGGTTTAAAGCCATACCGTGGAACATTCCAGACAAAGAAATAACATCTCCATGAAGAAAAGTATTTGACGGAGGCTCCACCAGAAAAGTTACACAATGCACCTTTAAAAGCAGTAGTGTTTCTGTTACTTAAAGTTGCACTGTGTAACTTTTTTTGGTGGAAGGTCTGTCACCTGCTTGTCTCCATGGAGATGTTGTTGTTTTGTCTGGAATGTCCCGGTGTGGCTTTAAACGTGTCCATCTTACATTTACTCAATAACACGAGTCTTTGTCGACCTAAAATCGTGCTCTCTGACTGCGATTGGGCTCGCCTCTCCACAGATCTGACCCGTAACTCTGCCCTGTGACGTCACCTACCGTCTCCGTACAGATAAATACACACTGCGGAACATTTCAGGCAACGTAAAGATACAGAAAAGTCACGCAGCGCGCCTTTAAGTAAAAGTACAGACGCCGAAAGCCAAAAAATAAAAAAATAAAAAACTCAAATAAAAGTAAAAGTATCACATGGAAAATCTACTAAAGTAAAAGTATTAAAGTATTACAGTACTTGTTTTAAAAATGTACTTCAAGAGTAAAAAGTAAACGTATTTCAGTCACATTTTGAGATCCAAAAAAGCTTCAAATGTAGAGATTTTGTTCAACAAAACAACCGAACAGAGTTTTTTCCAGCTGTTTTTATTTTTTATTTTTTATTTCCGTTCGCTCAAATTATGAATGTGATCAAAATAAACTCTCTTTCTTTTCTTTTCAGCAGGTTTCGGATAAAAATTAAAAGCGTAGAGGAGTAGAAAGTACAGAAACCTGCTCTCGACCAAAACAAGACCATTTTTGCACTTGGAAATATCTGACAAAAAGGACGATTTTAATGAAAGAGCTTTTGGATTTTCTTTTCTTTTTCCTCTCAGCTGCTCCTCTCATGATCAAGAGGAGTCGAAAATAAAACCGCGGAGATCTTTAAAAATCACCACATCACAAAGACCAAACATTAAATCTGAGTAAATCACATAAATTACGCTCAAATTTCAGATCCACAGACTCTTCCGTGACTCTTTGTGTCTTTATGTTGTGGATCTGTGTCTTTGGGAGTGAACGTCCCTTTGTCCAGGTAAAACACGTTACGTAAAGCACGTGCCCTTCAAATGTTCCATGCTCAAAATATAAATACTAAAATGCAGAATAACAGAAGTATAAGAGGACAAAATATACAAATTCTGGTAAAGATTTGTCATTTATTGCGTGTTATTTGAGGTTTTGTGTCGTGATCTTGGGCCTGTGGTGGAATGTGAAAATACAGGAAACACTGACCCTGACCCCGCACGCGCCAAACGTCACGAGCACAAAGCGTCTTTACGCACAGGTGCACGAGGCGAACCCGGGGCTCTCAGGGTCAGAAGAGCGCGAGACACACGAGGAGGAACGCGCCAAACGAACAAGAAACTCTCCACGTAACGACACAATCACCGAGCGCACGAGAGCCCAGTGTCAGAGCCACTCAGCGCGAGCTCCCACAGAACCACCGCACGTGAGCGGTACCGGCTCATCCCGGGGTCATACCGGGGTCACGCGGCCTCAGCGTCAGACCCCCGCTCAACAGGTGCGGACCGGACCACTGTAACTCCCCCAAAGTCCCGCCATCACACAGATCTGACACAGCCACACAGTGACACGGGGTCACTGGGAGGCGCGCGCTTACCCGTGCCGCGCGGGAGGAGTACGGGTCCTCGAACAGGTTCCAGATGACGGGCTGCCACTTGCGCCACTGGCTCACGCTGCCGTCCGCCGCCACGTCCTCGATGCCCAGACGTTTCCCGATGTCGTCGTCCTCGTCGCCGTTATCCACGTTCAGCTCGAACACGTCCAGCGCCTCTTCCGCGTCCCGGTGCTGGCGGTACGTCATCCAGCAGCACGGCTCCACGTCCGTCTCATCGATGCCCCAAAAGGACAGCTCCTCCTCGAACAGCGGGCCGCACACGTCCGCGGGGCAGTGCAGCTTCCCGGTGCGGTAGTAGTTGAGCACGTAGGCGAAGACGCCAGGGTGGCGGTCAAAGAAGTACTCGTTGGTGCGCGCGTTGTACTCGATGAAGCCCGGGACTTGTTGCAGCTGATCCAGAACCGAGTCCAGGTCCGAGTCCGAGGCGAGCAGGGCCAGGCGCGTGCCCGGGAGCGTCTTCAGGGTGCTCTTGTACGTCTCGTGTCTCGTGCCGCCGACGTTGAGGATTATCCTCTCGTGCTCGTCAAACTTCCCCATCGCTCCGGCTCCGACATGACGCGGTCACCGCGCGCGGTCCGGGAGAAAACGCGCTCAGCCGACGCTCGGTGCGCGGAAGCGGCGAGCGCGGTCCATGGTCCGTGCGTGGTGTCCGCGTGGCGTGAGGAGCTGTGTGGAGCGCGTGGGGATGCGCTGGTGCGTGGATCCAGACTGAACTCGCCTCGTGCCTCCCTCTCTCCAGACGCACGGCCGCGTCAGCCTCAGACGCGCGCGGTGCCGCCCTCCAAACAGGCGGTGAGGCGCGAGCGCCACACGCGCTCAGAAGATGCTCAGATGAGAGGCTCGTGCGTGTGCGCTCATTCTCAAACACACGCGGAGGGAGAGGCTGAGGTGACGTCACACTCCTGAGAGCGCACCTGCCGCTCCGGAGACCGAGAGGTCACGCACTCACGCGCTCACGCACACGTCGGGACTTTAGGATGAGTGACAGTTTAATTAAGCTCCGTTTCAGCTTCATTCTTCACGCAGACAAAAGAATAAACCAATCACGAGCCGCGCGCGCTCTCATCTGTTTGCGTCCATCTGTCAGAGTCAAACTGGCGCGTGCGGTTCAGTTTGAACCCGCGCGCCGTGTCTCGTCCTCTCCACGTGCGTCCAAACACAAGCAGCTGTTCGCACGTGCGACCTGTGCGCGCGCTGTGCGTGTGATGGACACGCGGGGGGAAAGTGCACGTGTCAGTGTGAGCCAACAGGAGGCGCTAATGACACGGCTCATTATCTCTGTCACTGCACGCGCTCAACGCACTGACAGGAGCCACTCCGCACCTGCCTCTGGAGACAGGTGCACAGTGTAGCGCTCAGGACCACAGGGTCCAGTTCCCCTGAGCTGTGCGCTCCTTGTTTTCTGAAATTAAAACATAAACAAATATAAAAGCAGATTTTTACTCCGGATGCCCGGACTGTGGACATGAACATAGAACAAACAAGGTTTTAGCAGGAAAGATGAAGACCTGGAGATTTCATGAAATGATTTTAAGATTTGATGATATGAAATGGTGTTTATGTCATCATTTCTCACAACGATTCTCCAATCAGAAGCAGAATGAGCCTCACGTGACTCTCTGATCTGAAAGGTCATGACCTAAACCCCAGAACCTGCACCAGTCCTGAGTCAGTGCTAGTGCAGCCTCTGCAGCTCAGGGAGCGAATTCTGGAGGTTCTGAGTTTAACATAAGGCCTGAACATAAACTGAGAGTGAGACAATCTTGGACATGTGTCTGTGTCTCTGTGTCTCTGTGTCTCTGTGTCTCTGTGTCTCTGTGTGTCTGTGTGTCTGTGTGTCTGTGTCTCTGTGTCTCTGTGTGTCTGTGTCTCTGTGTCTCTGTGTGTCTGTGTGTCTGTGTCTCTGTGTCTCTGTGTGTCTGTGTCTCTGTGTGTCTGTGTCTCTGTGTGTCTGTGTCTCTGTGTCTGTGTCTCTGTGTGTGTCTCTGTGTCTCTGTGTGTCTGTGTCTCTGTGTGTCTGTGTCTCTGTGTGTCTGTGTCTCTGTGTCTCTGTGTGTCTGTGTGTCTCTGTGTGTCTGTGTCTCTGTGTGTCTCTGTGTGTCTGTGTCTCTGTGTCTCTGTGTGTCTGTGTGTCTGTCTCTGTCTGTGTCTCTGTGTCTGTCTCTGTGTCTGTGTCTCTGTGTCTCTGTGTGTCTGTGTCTCTGTGTGTCTGTGTCTCTGTGTCTCTGTGTCTCTGTGTGTCTGTGTGTCTGTGTCTCTGAGTCTCTGTGTGTCTGTGTCTCTGTGTCTCTGAGTCTCTGTGTGTCTGTGTCTCTGTGTCTCTGTGTCTCTGTGTCTCTGTGTGTCTGTGTCTGTGTGTCTCTGTGTGTCTGTGTCTCTGTGTCTCTGTGTCTGTGTCTCTGTGTGTCTGTGTCTCTGTGTGTCTGTGTCTCTGTGTGTCTGTGTCTCTGTGTGTCTGTGTCTCTGTGTGTCTGTGTCTCTGTGTCTCTGTGTGTCTGTGTCTCTGTGTGTCTGTGTGTCTGTGTCTCTGTGTGTCTGTGTCTCTGAGTCTCTGTGTCTCTGAGTCTCTGTGTGTCTGTGTCTCTGTGTCTCTGTGTGTCTGTGTCTCTGTGTGTCTGTGTCTGTGTCTCTGTGTCTCTGTGTGTCTGTGTCTCTGTGTGTCTGTGTGTCTTGTGTCTCGTGTGTCTGTGTCTCTGTGTCTCTGAGTCTCTGTGTCTGTCTCTGTGTCTGTGTCTCTGTGTCTCTGTGTGTCTGTGTCTCTGTGTGTCTGTGTGTCTGTGTCTCTGTGTGTCTGTGTCTCTGTGTGTCTGTGTCTCTCTGTGTCTCTGTGTGTCTGTGTCTCTGTGTCTCTGTGTCTGTGTCTGTGTGTCTGTGTCTCTGTGTGTCTGTGTCTCTGTGTGTCTGTGTCTCTGTGTCTGTGTCTCTGTGTCTCTGTGTGTCTGTGTCTCTGTGTCTCTGTGTGTCTGTGTCTCTGTGTCTCTGTGTCTGTCTCTGTGTCTCTGTGTCTCTGTGTCTGTGTGTGTCTGTGTCTCTGTGTGTCTGTGTCTGTGTCTCTGTGTGTCTGTGTCTCTGTGTGTCTGTGTCTCTGTGTCTCTGTGTGTCTGTGTCTCTGTGTGTCTGTGTGTCTGTGTCTCTGTGTCTCTGTGTGTCTGTGTGTCTGTGTCTCTGTGTTCTGTCTCTGTGTGTCTGTGTCTCTGTGTCTCTGTGTGTCTGTGTCTCTGTGTCTCTGTGTCTCTGTGTCTCTGTGTCTCTGTGTCTCTGTGTGTCTGTGTCTCTGTGTCTGTGTCTCTGTGTGTCTGTGTCTCTGTGTGTCTGTGTCTCTGTCTGTGTCTCTGTGTCTCTGTGTGTCTGTGTCTCTGTGTGTCTGTGTCTCTGTGTCTCTGTGTCTGTCTGTGTCTCTGAGTCTCTGTGTGTCTCTGTGTGTCTGTGTCTCTGTGTGTCTGTGTCTCTGTGTCTCTGTGTCTCTGTGCTCTGTGTGTCTGTGTCTCTGTGTGTCTGTGTCTCTGTGTGTCTGTGTGTCTGTGTCTCTGTGTCTCTGTGTGTGTCTCTGTGTGTCTGTGTGTCTGTGTGTCTGTGTCTCTGTGTCTCTGTGTCTCTGTGTCTTTGTGTCTGTGTGTCTGTCTCTGAGTCTCTGTGTCTCTGTGTCTCTGTGTCTCTGTGTCTCTGTGTGTCTGTGTCTCTGTGTGTCTGTGTCTCTGTGTGTCTCTGTCTGTGTCTCTGTGTGTCTGTGTCTGTCTGTCTGTCTCTGTGTCTCTGTGTCTCTGTGTGTCTGTGTCTCTGTGTCTCTGTGTCTCTGTGTCTGTGTGTCTGTGTGTCTGTGTCTGTGTCTGTGTCTCTGTGTGTCTCTGTGTCTCTGTGTCTGTGTCTCTGTGTGTCTGTGTCTCTGTGTGTCTCTGTGTGTCTGTGTCTGTGTCTCTGTGTCTCTGTGTCTCTGTGTCTGTGTCTCTGTGTCTCTGTGTCTCTGTGTGTCTCTCTGTGTCTGTGTCTCTGTGTCTGTCTCTGTGTCTCTGTGTCTCTGTGTGTCTGTGTCTCTGTCTCTGTGTGTCTGTGTCTCTGTCTCTGTGTGTCTCTGTGTCTCTGTGTGTCTGTGTCTCTGTGTGTCTGTGTCTCTGTGTGTCTCTGTGTCTCTGTGTGTCTCTGTCTCTGTGTCTCTGTGTCTCTGTGTCTCTGTGTCTCTGTGTCTCTGTGTCTCTGTGTCTCTGTGTGTCTCTGTGTCTCTGTGTGTCTGTGTCTCTGTGTGTCTGTGTCTCTGTGTCTCTGTGTCTCTGTGTCTCTGTGTGTCTGTGTCTCTGTGTGTCTGTGTCTGTGTGTCTGTGTGTCTGTGTGTCTGTGTGTCTGTGTCTCTGTGTGTCTGTGTCTCTGTACTGAATATACAGACACAGTGGAAATCTTCAGGTTAGAATAAACGTCCAGAATCTGACCCAAACTGACCCAAATGTGTATTTGTGCGACACATTTGTCCGAGTGTCCGTGTGTCGGAGCTGCTCAGATCTGCCTGATCAGAATGAGGCAGCACATCCACAGATTTTTCCTGCTCATTTCATCGCTGCTGTTTGTAACATGAGCCGAGCACTTAAAGAGCATCGGCCTCGTAGACTTAAAGGAGACCACAGACTTTACTCCGGCGGCGGCGACAGGAAGGGCATCCGGTGTAAACGCCTCGAGTCACTGTGGACGGAGTCAAACTGGTGTCTCTTCTGGTTTACTTAGTTTAGTTTTTCATGTGGATCAGAATGAAACAAAACACAACTCCAGGTCTGTTTGTGATCAGGAAACAACTTCATAACACAGATCTACATTTTTTTCTTAATATGGTATTTTTTGGGTTTAAAATTTTCACTGTTACCTAGCAACAGTAGGATAAAACTTCTCTAATGTACACACAAATAAAAATATATGAAAACACCTTTATTTTGTTGAAATCAATGTTTAAAGTATTAAGTTTAAATGTGCTTTGTAATTATAAACTGTACTGAACTTTTGGATAGAATTGTGCAGAAAAGTGTAATGTCGTCAATGTGGGAAATCTCCACTATCTGTAATATTCAACATATTTTTCCAGTTTTTTTTTTCACAAACTGCTTCTTGATTGGTGTAAAACTATAATTTACAGCAGAGGTACTCAATTACAAACTCAAAAGATCCACTAACCAAATTTACAGTGTTTACAAAGTCACAGTGTATTTTCAAACTTAGAACCTCTAACAAAAAATGTAAATCCACATGGAACATTTGAACTATGCACAAAGTAGTAAATACACGACGAGATAGAAAAATACTAAATACACTCGAAAGATGGTTACTTGAGCAAAGCTGAGTCTGGAGAGGTTCTAGTCTTGTGTGTGAGGATCTGCTGCTCCTGTTCCTCCTGAACCACTGTCACTTCACTCTACTGCACATGTCTCCTGCAGAAAGAGCCTCTGTTCTGTCTGTATCATGTCAGTCGATCGCACCGTTACTTCTGCACCACTGAAAATCCAACCATTCATTTTCTTCCACTTATCTGGGGCCGGGTCACGGGGGCAGCAGTCTGAGCA